CCAGCATTGTCCCCTGGCGGCCAAGAAGGCCAATGGGATCCTGGGGTGCATCAAGAAGAGTGTGGCCAGCAGGTCAAGGGAGGTGCTCCTTCCCCTCTACACTGCCCTAGTGAGGCCCCATCTGGAGTACTGTGTCCAGTTCTGGGCTCCCCAGTTCAAGAAAGATGAAGAGTTACTGGAGAGAGTCCAGTGGAGGGCTACAAGAATGGTGAGGGGACTGGAACATATCTCCTACGAGGAGAGGCTGAGGGAGCTGGGCTTGTTCAGCCTGGAGAAGGCTGCGAGGGGACCTAATAAATGCTTATAAATATCTGAAGGGTGGGTGTCAGGAGGATGGGGCCAAACTCTTTCCAGTGGTGCCCAGTGACAAGACAAAGGGCAATGGGCACAAATTGAAGCATAGGAAGTTCCATCTGAACATGAGGAAGTGTTCTGGTTCAGCTGCAGCCGGCAAAAAAAGCGCCACGCGGCCGCCCCTCCTCCGCCGCGGTGTGGAGGAGGATGGAAAGAAACAGGCAGAAAACTGGTGGGTTGGGATAAGGGCAGTTTAACAGATCAGCAAACAAAGGGAACAGTAACAACAACGATGCAGAAAAGCGGAATATACAAAACAAACCCGCAGAACAGAATCGCTCTCTCGGACCGAACTGCCGCTGTGCCGTACCGAGCTACGAGAGTGTTCCTGCAGCGCCTCTCCCCCCCCACCGGAACCCAGCATGACGGCACATGGTATGGAAAACCCTGCTCTGGTTGGCCAGGTTGGGTCAGCCCACCGAGCTATGTCCCTTCCTGGAGTCCGGTGAAAATTAACCCTGTCCTGGCCAAACCCAGGACAGGAACATCTTCTTCCCTCTGAGGGCGACGGAGCCCTGGAATAGGCTGCCCAGGGAGGTTGTGGAGTCTCCTTCTCTGGAGATATTCAAGACACACCTGGACAAGGTCCTTAACAGCCTACTGTAGGTGACCCTGCTTCGGCAGGAGGGTTGGACTAGATGAGCCACAGAGGTCCTTTCCAACCCCTACCATTCTGTGTGATTCTGTGTGATTCTGTGTGATCTATGCACACCAGAAAAGTATGCAATGTCATGGCTTGAAGTGGAGTGGGACTGTATGCAGAATTACAGGCCAAATTCAGAAAAGATCTATGAATTGGGGATAGTGACACACAGTGAACATCACTGTGTGACCTACAATGATGGTCGTAATTTACATACTCATTCAAAAATTCTGTGGAACTCTTAATGTGAAAATACATGAAATATTTAAAGATTTTTAACACAGAGGCTTGAAATTGTTTCCTGAACAGTTCTTCATACCAATGAATTAGCAACCACTCTGCAGGAAATAAAAATCCTCACATTAAAAATTGGAGGGTTTGTAAGTTTATTAATTTTTTATAAAACTAAGTAAACTCCACCACCTGGTTGTCGGTCAACTTTACCCAGTTATTAGATAGCTACTGAATACTTTCTATATAAGTAACCACGGAAATCGGGGATCACGGTAAAACACGGCAGTTTTCCTTTGATATTGGAACAGCAGACTGCAGAGCAAACTACTGTTGCAGTAAACTGGAAGCTCTGTGAGTGCTCCCACTCCCAATGGAAATATTTCCCTGAGGACTCTGAGAGCCTTTAACAGAGACAGGGTTATGGAGCTCTGGCACTGAGGCTGTGAGGCTAGCCTGCTTCTTCAAAGACATTTAATTGATAAACAGCAAGTTATATCTGTAGTTAGGAATTTTCATGTATGAGCCTGTATTCTTTTTTTTTTTTTTTGCCATCTATTGCCAAGATTATGAAAATAGCAGTACTTTACCCAAATTACTGTATGAATGATTAAGCAGATAAATTTACTAGGTCATAGATGACAAATACTCAACCAAACACATGACCGTACTCCATTCTGAATAATTATTCCATGTTATAACTATACCTTGCATATCTCCATCCACAGTCTTTATGGAACCAAGCTGGGAATTAAATTTATGATGTCAAGAATTGCTTAAAGATTGTTCACTGACAATGACTTTCACCATCTCCCTCTCATTTCTACCAGATGGCAGCTAGTTTAAGCTCTTTGACAAGCACTGGCTGCCAATTGACTTCTCTTGCAAGGCAATGGGTAACCATTGCACATCAACAACATTCAGTTAATGTAATCTCTGCATGAAACAGCCTTTAATTCCCAGGCAGCTGCATTCTATGCTAACTATACCTTTTTAAAAGTTTAAATGTGGAGCCCCTTTTTCAGAGCATACTGCAGTATTGAGTATTCCAACCTCAAAGAGGGCAGATAGCTTGTGGTATCCAAAAATCAATGTAAAGACACAATATTTCAACCAAGAACAAATGATGAAAAGAATTTTTCAAGGTCTTTAATGTTCATAACAATGGACTCTAAAAAAGTTCCACCTAGAGAAATAAAACAACTAATGATTTTTTTTTTTTTCTTCCCAGAAACTATGCCATTCACCACGTTCCAGCTCTGGTACATACAATTTTAGCAGAACTAAGCAACTGTTGTAGATAACATAAGAATATCATCAGGAAAAAAAGGAAAAGATCATCTATATGATATGCATTCATAGTAGTGGGATATAGGCAAAAGAGAGAACATTTTTGGAAAGAAGAGATGAAGAATAGAAAAACAGTAAAAGAATAAAGAACCATATTTTGCAACATTTAGCAAACTACCTGGCAAGCTCAGCTACTGGGCAAGCTCGAATTAAACTTCAAAAACTGTAAAACCATGAAGACTAAATTTTCTTCTTCCAGCTAGACTTCTTGCTCATGACCATCACAGAGTTTCAGTGGTATGGATATTTTACAAATAACTACACAATCTCCTTTTTCAGTGCAATCCATTGAATGTCTCTCAGAAGCATCATAATCACTTCTTTGAACAGATTTTTAAAATAATGAGGGGAATCACATGAACCTTAAGAAAAAGTTAATTTGCTGTTAAGATATTTGTAGCAATATAAAAATCCATCAATGGTACAACTTTCAGGTTAACAAAATTTACTGCATAAAACATATAACTTAATTTAGTGTAGGGGGAAAAGTAGACAACTGTCAAGCATTTACCCTGAGGCCTATTCAACATTACCAACAGAAAAAAACCTCTGTGATATCAGAGAAAGTTTAGGATGACTAATGAGCAAATAAAAGGGATTATAATGAAATTTCCCCTATTCTACATGCAGTCAGAACTGAAAACAAGACAGCATCTCTTAATCTTGTTTAACCTTGGATCATTTGGTACCCATTGCCGTAACATTTTTTTGTGTGTGTTTGTGTTTAAGGATTCTTATATGCTCACAAAAGATTTACAGATATTCCTATGTCTTCCTCAGTCTACAACTTTTGTTACAGTTTTGGAAAATATAGGATTGTATTTTTCCCAGGTGTGAAATTAACTGAGCTACTGCTGGGGAGGAGGGGTAGGAAAGGGAGGAGAGGTGAAAACTTTTAAGAAGTAAAAAAGCATTATAGTTGAATAAAGAAATACAGGACCATAAAGCAAATACATACGCAAGCACTGAGGTACTTCACCACTCCATGTTCCATTCCCAACGCAAGTCAAAACAGCGGGAAAAGACAGTTCATATCCTGAAGAGCAGACATAGCTAATGCTAAATCCCCAGTCCAAGTTTGTTCCTTCCAACCTTCCATTAGAGATCTGCGGAGGAGTTGGGCAGGTAACAGCTGCAATAATATTCAACATAATTAGGCCCAGCTGCTGTAAATATCCCCAGTGTACAGAATTACTAGGAGAACCATATGTGCTAATTTCACCTTTTTTAGAGGACAATACGGTCAGGACATATTATCTTCCTCACTATATTCTTGCCACATTTTTTGAAGTGAGTACTTCTGGTTTCCTCCATTTAGGAGACTGTGGCTGACAGATGAAGTGTCTTAAATAAAACCGGATGCTGCATTAACCAAATAGGAAGACTGCATAAAAATAGGTGTGGAGACTAAGAAATGTACATTTAAGATAGGTCTGGTAGTACACCGCAAAATTATTTTTTTTGTCTGTTTAGCCAAGATAGAGTACACTTCTCTTCAGTTACCATGATAATAGTCAAATACTTTCTTCCTGTTAGCCATCTTAGGCATTTTCTGGATATTATGGCTAGGGATGAAATTCCAGGATGATTGCTCAAAAATATGACTTGAAAGCCTGCTTCTAAGTACCACAGTTTGGTTAGTATTTGCTTCTTGAATAGCTCCTCACCAAAAAGCATCTAGCTTCTACATAGAGGGAGAAAATTTAAAGATTTGTAACCACTGGAAATTGTCAGTGTTGCTATCTTTAAGGCCGCCAACAAGAAGCATTTCAGTATAGTTTCTCATTTCCAGGCCTCCCAGGAAAAAATAGAAATATTTTCTACTCAGTTGTAGGAAAGAGGGCTGAAAAACTCCACAGGAGGACAGTAGCAGTAACAGATGTAACTGTAGTGATGAAGATAAAAGTCCTATTCACTGGATAATGGGGTAGTAACAGACAATTGCTAATTGTGAGCTGAAGGAAAAAGGGTGTAAAATAAATAAAATGAAAAAAAAAAAATCTGAATCAAAAAGAGAAATGGGGAAATTTAGGCCAAAGTTACTACAATGAATGACAAAGAGAAAAGGGATAAAAAACAGAAAAGTTGGGACAAACTGTGCTAGCAATAGAGAAAGAAAGCAAATAAGACTGCTATGATTTAGTTTAGTGGAGACAGCTGGGGTAAACGAGAAGAGGTGGTGACTAAATATAAAGCTGAGAACACACAAGTCACAAGAATGGAGGAAATAATGAGCTCCACTCATAACCTTTAAACTTATGTTTAGACAGCTGTCATCTTGAAGGCTCATAAAAGTCAGAAGCACTAGATGAAGAGTACTGCGTATTTGAATGTGATCTGCAGAAAGTTCACCATCTACCATTGCTCCATTCTTATTGTACAGTACAGTAAGTGAATCTCAGCTATTTACACCACAAAGATGTTCTGCAGCATCATTCCTGGCTGTTTCAGAAAGCTGGATGAAATTAGTACTATTACCAAATAATCCTTTGTCAACCAATAAACTAAAAGTAAATAACAAGGCCCTAACTTTTAAACTTTCTCTTTGTCTTGCTCTGCTTCATAGTTTAAAAAAATCCCACCAAATAAGCAAACCAAAAAAGGACATGATAGCTTTTTCAAATTTTCATGATGCTGTAATAAAAGTAAATAAAAATAAGTACTTCAAGCAGCAAAAGTCTGTCTACATTCTTGAGGAGCTTCATTACCAGTTCTTTTAAAAAGATCTATGTGTTTTAACTTCTGAGTTGAATAATAAAGGAAGAAATACTGGTCTAGAAGTAGGAAAGAAGACAGAAGTAGCATGAAAATTGGTGTAATATCAGAACTTTAGGTTGAGAAAAGCAAAACAGAACAACACCCAGTAACAAAGCAAAATACATCTCTGGATGTTTTGGTCACAGATTTAACCATAAATACGTACAGCAATATTTTTTAGTGTAAGCGCTGAAAGTGTATTACAAATTCAAGTCTGCAGAAAAGACAGTGCTTGAATAGTTAACTATTTAGTTTCAAATGAACATGCATCCTTTTACAAGTAGGCAAAGGCACAGAATTATTTATATCTTCTATTTAAATGGCACTGTGACAATTATGTATCCATTTTCTCTCCAGTTTGTTTTCCAATTATATTAACTAAGTGGTACAGAGGACCCTAGCTCTTCCTCCTGACAGTAAGAACTAATTGTTGTACAATTCAAACACACTAATGCGTGTGTATATTAAAACTATAATATTTTTAATTACACAGTCAAAAAATGGGGATTAATAACTTACCTAATGCACTCACACAAACCTGTGTGGAGTAGAATAAAATTCTGAGAATGCTAGACATTCTGCATACAATTATTATTTAGTATTTATACAAGCTATAAATAAGTATAACCTAAAACCAGAAAGACTCAAAAACTCAAAGCCAAAATTGACAGTCTAACTCTTTCTTTGTACAGTTCTGTTTGAATCAAATCAGAGTTAGATCTCTTGCTCCCTGTTAGGTGCCCTGTAGTCCATAACAATTTGAGGCTAGGAGACTATATCTTAAATATTTGTTCTGTCTTATGATCTTCTAGCTGTTTGCTTACAGCTACTCTCGGAGACAGACAGACTTTTGGTCAACAGGACTAGTATCACCGTACATCTTAAAACCAGTTTTGTATTTGAAGCTGAGGCTGGCTAAGAGCACAATACAAATAGAAAAAAAAGTGAATTATTAAAAGGATCTCAAAGTCTGACATCCTCAACAATGTGTTGGGAAAATGACTTTAAAAACTGCCATTGTCAAAGGTGAATTAAAATTAAACTGGACGTGGTAAGGTACTGGGAGAATTGTACTCATCAAGGAAAGTAATTGCAAATGAGGTGGAGATTTGAAACCTATTTATTTGATCTGTTTTCATGAATGAATTCAGGGGAGGGAACGAGAACTGCTGAGCGTGTATGTAACCATACTTCCTGAAAAGAAAACAGAAGGAAGATGGATGAGAACAAAGTAAGTACGAACTTAGCTGACTAAGTTTTAAAAAAATAGAGATCAAACATATTTAGTGTGAACCCAAAAAGAAAACACCAAAACAGTATGCTGCTTCTCTACAGCTGTGGTATCAAGAAGAGTGAGAAAAATGACTCTAGAGAGAATATGTTTTAGAGTTTAGCAATCGTGTGAGTTTCTCAGAGAAAATTGTTTTGCTGACACAGATAAGGCGGTCTTTCAGTAATGTTCAGATTAATTGCTGTTTAAATTTCAACAGAAAGCATTAAAAAAATTCCAATAAAACAGAACAATCAGGAATGCAATTAGTAAAATAGAGAAAAGAAAGATCTTCAGGTTAATCCTTTCAGTTTTCACAGTAGAGAAAATAACATGAAGCAGAAAAATGTTTATTAGGAATTTCGCTAGAAGGATTTAGTCTTTTTGCTGAGTGTGTCGATACAGCACAGTGATGCTCAAAGGTGCACATTTAACGCAGGAGCGATCAGAGAAAAATCTTAGGACTATGGATAAAATAACCCAGAACAATTTGCCTTTGGCAGAGTTCAGTTGTATAAATGCAGACCTTTCCTAAAGATGTCTATCTTGTGCTTGAGTGGTCTTTTTGTAAAGACAGGGACATATATAAGGCCATTTTTGGTATGACATATTAACCTTAAAAAATAAACAAAAAAGCTAAACCATTATTTTGTATTGGCTCATTCAGTTTAGCAGCAAAGTAATAAAAGTTACTCTAAAGCTACAACAAAGCTTTTCAACACACTGTGCGGGTATGAAAAATAAAAGCAGAAAAGAAGCAAAGGAGGAATTCACTGTTGCTGCAGACAAAAAAACATTCAGTGTATTCATACTGGCAGTAACTTTTGATTTTTGTGGAAATACTTGGCTGAGTCATTACAGTAAGCAGTGGATGTAAATGTAATACAAGAAATAGCTGACAATCAAAATAAATATTGTACCTTTGCATGTTGGGATTACTCCACTCCACGTGCCATTGCTCGTACAAGTGCGAATTAAGGAGCTATTTGATTCCATTGTGTAACCAGGTTGGCACACATAAGTAACATTTTGTCCAACAACGTAATCATCACCATATCTCATGCCATTGGCTGGGACTCCTGGATCTCCACAACTGATAACTGCAAGTAAATAGTTGAGGAACAGATTTAAAATCTAAAAGTGATTTATTTGTATGTGAGGGGAAAAACCTAGGAATTTAATGGGTAAAAAAGGAGAAAGAACAAGTATCAGAAATCTTATCTCCTTCAAGAGAAGCTAAACATGAATGTTATCTGAATTAGCTACCAAACACAATATGTGGAGCTGTATAACAGTTGCATGCGGGGAACAACTATACATCTGTTCAACAGTAGAAGTAATGGACTGTAGAATTTTGATCAGTAAAATAGCAAGATTATAAAATGAAAAAAAAAAAGAAAGAAAGAAACTATATGCCACTACCACCCTTTGATATCCTCAAATTTTCCTGTCAGTTCAAAGCTTCTTTATTAAGGAAGCTGATATCTAGTGTTTAGTTTACTTTTCCATGGGTACATCTTGAAAGGAAACAGTCTGGAAAAATGAAGCTATATGTCTGGAATAAGCTCCCACTTTTTAAATGCTCATATCATTACTATGTACATAAACAGATGAGAATGTTCAGGCAACCCCCAAACATGGGCCACGGCTTATGACAAAATTAGGCCTATAGTACTTTAATGAGTGGACATGGTTGTAAAACCTCCTGTGACTTCCGATGTCAGAAGATACTTTATCCCCTAATGAGATAAAATATTCATAGGGCGTTCATACAGAATTACATCATTATAGTCTGAGAATAGTGTTAAAATAGGTGAGTTTATCTCAGATCTAGTCAATTCGATCTATCAGTTTCTGAAACAGCTTTCAGAGTAAGAAATCTTGAGAATCCTAGTGGCAATGATAAAAAGCTGTTGTTTTCAGGAAAGAAACAAACACCAGGAGAGAAAATCTAGCTCATACAAAACACAGCACCCACGTGTTTTACAGTTTATCTTCTAGTAAACTTGACTATCCTCCTACAGCATTGTTACTACTGGTGGATAATTGTGGGAGGCAGTTTCCTGGGCAGAAAGCACATCCTGGCCTCTTCTAACTCAATGCCAAAGCATGACCGACGTGAATGGCACCCTCTCTGTATCCTGGTTTCCAAAATGAGAAAACGCAGGACTACATATTTGCAGTGTATTCTGGCCAGGTCCCTTGATCTAAATAACTGGGGAACTGAGAATCAAAGTATATAGTATGCCTGCTTTACAGTTTATTACAGTCTGAGTGAGCAGATACTAATTAAGATGCATGTATCAAATCTTAAAAAATAAAATGTCCCACACAACTGTTGTCTATGAATACAGAAGAGACTATAAAACACACCTCAGGGTTACCTGGGTTAGTCAAAAGGTGCAATGATAAAGAAAATTGGAGATTAGTCTACTTTATTTTACCTAATAACATGTAATTTAAAAAAAACCCAACTTTAAAAATCATAGATTTTTCTTTGTCGTTCTTCAGCAAATACAGAGCTGTGAAAGATAGAACTGTTTCTCTTAGTTACATTAGTATATTCAAATACTTATCATGTTCTACCTTTCTTTGTTTGACATATTCCTTTTACTGCACTCAGTGACGCAAATTCGAATGATACAATCCTTGATATTTTTCCAGGTATGTTGTTGTTTTCCCTGGATTACAAAATAATTCTCATGCCTTTGTCCTGTTTTCCCTAATCCTATTTTCATCTCTTTAGATTTTCCTGTATGAAGAATATTTCAAATCATTGCCTTATGAATTGAAGAACATGCAAACACCATACACCACATAAGATCAAACAGCTCCACAAACTATCAGTTTATGTTACACTCTTGAAAACTATTTTCATTGTTTATTTATATCCAAATAAATCCATGTTCTCAGCTTTTTCATTCACTTTCTTCACAATCTCCTTTTCTTTCTTTTGGCAATTAATACAAAGTTTTTGCTTCTTCTACTGTTACTGTTACTGTAATGACTGTACCTTTTCCTGCCACTGCCATTGTAGCATTGATCTGTTATACAGCGAGACCCACTACAGCTTTAGCAGATCTCTAGATTGTTCTACCTTCTCAAAATTCCTACCTTCCTATCATTAACTTTTCAAGCCATACTTCAAAGAAAGAAAACCCAAACAGCCAGATATGCTTTTCTTTCATGTGTTTTTGCCCTTCTCTACTTACTAGTCTTTGTCTTACTCTAAGCAAGCGAGTTGCATGAAATGAAAGACTTAGAGGAACAAAGAGTCATTCTTCATATCACTGTGTTGTAACATTAGAACTGTTCATAGAGGTGAGTTAGGTAAGGAAAAGATCCTTTTGCTTTTTTGTCTTATACTGCAGCATTTGACTTTCAAAGAAAGAAAAAGCAGATGTAAGGAGGTGACCTAGATTTTTCCAAGATACTGTGTTTTGTTATAAACACAGGAACAAAGTTTTAACTAAAAGAAACATGTAGTAGCTACTTAGTAGGCTCAGTAGCATTGTCTGCAGTTCATAGATTTGGACAGTCAGAGAATCACATAACGATGAGGTTGGAAGGGACCTCTGGAGGTCACCTTGTCCAACTCTCCTGTTCAAGTAGTCCATCCAAAGATCCAAAGTTGTACCACCTCCACTTAAGTCACTGTTGTAGGCAAAAACCAGTTTAAATTGTTGTAGTGATCCTGAGCAGAAGGCCACTGTACATCAAGGAGCCAGTGATCCATAATACAGTTAACCTGAGGTCTGAGGCTTGTGATGCACATCCAGCGTGGCCTTTAGAACGGTGCTGTGCCACACTGATCTCTTGGCCAGGGCACAAGCTCGGCTACCTTATTACAGTAGAGGAGCTGCAGGCAGCTCCCACTCAATATCAGCATTTACACCAGCTACATGTCCCTGCTTTTCATCTAGCAGTGCAACAAGAAATTCTCATGAGAACATTGTTTATGATCAACTGTAGAAATGACAAAGTTGTATCCTTGTAAGAAAATACTATAAGGATACTTTCCCTGTTAAGATATTTTTCTAGGTTTTAAGCAAAGATCCAAGGTTTCTACCCAAGAAGTGTTTTTTTTGAGAAGACTGTTCTAGCATGTACTTTAGCTAAATGTCATTCTAAAATACAAGAAAAAAAATACAGATGCAGTTACGATCACAAAACACCTTTATCCTTGGTACAATTAATCTGTTTCTCATTATAACTTCGAAAAGAATAAATAAACAAAAGGATTGGGCTTTCTCACAGATTTACAGACTGCAAAAGCAGCTTTTCACATGCTTATCATTAAAGATGGATTTAAAAACAACACAAGAAGAAGTAGTTTTCTTCATCATCTCACTTTTCGCCACAGTTTGGGTTACTGTGTGTGTCAAGTACTCAGCTCTATGAAAACTAGGGTGCTAGTTCAAAATGTAAGGAACAGTTTGCTATACCTCTGATGAGTTTATATTTCCTCAAAATGTTAGGCAGTCTCATGTGTCATATAAACATAAAATTTTCATAATTGTTGCTAAAACTAGAACCAGGATGTGTAATAAAACAGAAATAGATGGTCTTTAAAATAAAAAATTGCAAAATTCTTATCAAGAATGTGAAACAAGCCAAAATATCTTTTGTTAGCTGAGTAACCAAAGCAAGTATAAGGTTAATGAAGAGGCCAAATACAAGATATTATCTGAGAGTGGGACAACAGTTTTGACCTCAGAGTCATTACAAAAAGAATTCTCAAGTGTTCATTTCAATGTTTTTATTTCCTGCTCTCTGGAAGACCAGAATATTATACTACTAAGTTTTGGGGATGAAGAAAAGTAATTAAATGAATGATGTCTAAATATAATATGACAAATCACAAAATATAAACAAGATTAAAAATATATACTGGGAAAGAATTAAAGTAGGTAGGTCATGTAACCATATAACTCCTTTAAACTGTAACAACAGTCTACTTATTTTACTATGCTGTGTCTGTCTTTAAAAAAACATCTTCTTATAGAATTATAGCTTTTAAAGATATTTCATGTACAAAGTTATGCAGAAGTAGAACAAGAAAAAGATGATGACTTAATTTATTTGCATCCAATTTTCACATTGTACTTTTTGTTGTCTTTTAGAGGAGAGAAAAACAAAGACTATTCATTAGAGACACGTGTCTTACTTGTGCAGTTTGGCAAGGATCCAGACCATGTTCCATTAGCAGTGCATTGTCTTACAGATGATCCAGAAAGTATGTATCCTTCCATGCATGAGTAAATTACTGAATTAGAGAACGTAGTTCCATCAATACGAAATACTTTTCCATTAGCGGTAGTTCCTGGATTACCACACTGCACAGCTATGAAGCAAAATGTGAAATATTTTTTAAATGTAGTAAAGATAATTTCTGAAATAGTAATGTCTAAGGGAAATCTTGCTACCAGCAGTGTTATATGGTAGAAGTCTGTGCTATTATCCTGAAAATTGTAATTTTCACCATGTACTGATAAAGCTTGTTGCACAGTAAATAGCTGTTTGCATAACTATTTGTTTTCACCCTTTTGTATGTAAAGAAACACAGCCATGAATTTAACTTTAAAATCTACATTAAAGGAAAGCTAGTTTAGCGGCAAAGACAAATTCTGAATTACATGAAAATGCCTGATCTATAATTATCACTGTAGATTTAATTTGACTCTAGTAGTCTGCATTTATAACATCACCAAAGTACACTTCTTACCTAATTCAAAGCACAGGATAGAGTCAAAATATTACTTCATAGGCAGGTGTAAGTCTGATTTTTCCCAATTCTTAAGTGTTCAACTTTGGAATTTGAATGTGTCTTTCTTACATGACTGCACATATACAGCTAATCTATATGACCTAAACTAGTACAATATACCTGAATGTGCATTATACACACCTATACATATATATATCTGTGAACCAGATTCATTATTTCAAGATATCTTTCGGGGGAAATAACACCAAAAAGATCTTGAAATGTAAACAGGGCAATTCACTCTTGTAAAACATCAGATCAAAGAACAGCAAAAAGTTCAGTTGGACTAAGCATATCCCTTCAGACACCAACATACAAACACATATATATATTTACGTTGTGTCAGCATCACAAGCATTCAGCAGAAAGGGTATTAAAAACCACCTTGTGAAATAAGTTCTTAAAATGAGATGACTATTTCATAGAGATAACACAGACTACAGTGATAAAGTGGATAATAAGAGTACATATTTTCAAATTATTTTCTGTTTTTCAGGAAGCTTTTCTTTTACGAATATTTTGTTGGGAATTATTTCCTATTTTTTAAACAAGATAATTAAGGTAATAAATGATTCTCTATAAATATCCTGTTAGAGCTTTCTTTTATGATAATACATCTAGCAAGAATTTTTAAAATTATTTTTTCCAAATAAACTTGTTTCAGCATTACATTTTATATTGAAAAATAATAATGTCCAACAATAAAATTTTTAAGCCAATCGTGTATGACGTAGATACATCTAATAAAATCCTGACATTGAAATTTTCCTAAAAGTCAGCTCTTTTCTCTGAAATTTAGCTGTATAATGGTGTAACTAAAGGTCAGGTGATGGTAAGCTTTTTAAAGGAAAAAATCTTTCAGCAAAAATTGAGCTCTATACGCTTTATCTATTTCTCTTTTTCTTTAGTTTTTTGTACTGAATAACATATATAGTTGATGCTGACACAAGACTGTGAACAAATAAACAGTTTGGTATGCTTTTGTTTCTCAGAACTTTTTAAACATGCAGTTTCATGGGTGTCAGGAACTGATTTCAAATTTGTCACCTGCTGCCAAGCCATTGCTATGGTGCAATAACTTCTTTGAAAAAAATTAATGGTCAGTCCAAAATAAACTATATACCACTCACAACACAAAACTGGCAATGAACAATTTATTTTCTGTTTAGCATTTTTAATAATACTGTTTGAAAAAAGAATGGATCTTCTGTGATTTACCTTTGCACTCAGGTTGTCTTCCTGTCCAACTTCCATTTGGCATACAAGTTCTTTCTTCTGAGCCATGGAGGATATATCCAATATCACAGCTGAAATGTACCATGCTTTTAATTTTAAAACTGTTTTCTTCTCTAGAACCATGACCTGGAATACCTGGATCACCACAAGAACCAGCTGTATCACCTAGAATTTAGAGTGAACATATTAGAATAAGCATGAAGTATTACTATGATTTAATGCATTTAAAAGATATGTTTCTGTGCATTTATAAATAAATATTTACATTTTTAGAAATAATCATATATCTCAGTGGATGTGAATCCCTTTAATTACAAAATTATTTGATTCATAAATCATTTCTTTTTTTTTACTTTGTGTAAGTACATAACAGAAATTATGATTGTCTCAAGATTCCCCTTAGATCATGCTAAAGTTTCGGTAACAGAATCCTCAAACAAGAATAGGGAAACAAAAAGAAAGCCACAAAATCTTGGTCATTTTTCATTTGAAATAAAGAATCCTGAGGAAAACCAAGTTCCTGATCATAAAGATAAATTTCTTGTTTGCCTATAACAAGAGTTCATAAAATACTTTCTAGTCTTATTATATCATTAGAGTTTTAACAGTTTTACCATTGAACGAAAGCTCTAGTCCACAATTTTACATACAACTGACATGAAGCGTTTCCCTGATTTATAGAAATGTTGAAAGTTCACTTCAAGACTGCCTGACAGCTAAAATCTCCCTCAGCTAGAAATGTTTAATCAAATTTTAAGATAGCGGGTCAATGTTTTCTACTATCTGTTCTATGTCAGCTTTAAAAGAATCAACATAGTCATAATAACAAAAAAATCTGTGGTTATACATCTAAATCTTCATTAATACTGAGAACTTTTAGGAAACTTAAGGTAATGATATATTTAGACAGAATGTCAGTTGTTTAAATCTTTTAGTATGTACTTAAGATCCGTTGTTTTATCTTTCTAAAGGTCTTTTAGCTAGTTTTCTATGTAATAAGAGATTAAGGTATATTATATTACTGAGTTTCAACACAGGAGTTAAATTCTTGAATTCTCGGAGCTGCGCTGTTCAAGTTTTCTCCCATGTATATTCAGCTTATGGTTTTCTGTGACAAATTGCAAAAGAACTGAACAGTATGCTGTACAAAAAATAATTCAAGCATCATAATATTTTTGAAAGTATATCTCCATTATTTTGTATTTAGTTACACTAACATAAAATAAGAAGAAATATTTTAAGAATCAGCTAGAAAACTTTAAATCAACTACTGAAGAGCATCCTACTATAGCTTCACGTTAGAGAATTATATTGAAAAATTTGTACAAATTATGTAAAGAATTTTTTCTGTTTAACAGCTATACTTTTCTGGTACTTATATATGCTTACATAAAAGTAATAAAAGAGGTCCTTACACAGAAGTAATAAACAAAATTTTCTGCTCCAAGTACCCAGAAGACCGTAAGTGACAAACTCATTATCTATGGGTTCTATGGGAAGTTAGGACCCTGGGGTGGTAGATGCAGATAAAGAAAGACCTTCCCTTGCCTTGGTTGGCACTGTATGTGTGTAAACTATGCTGTTAGAGTGACTGGTTGGACACATCTCTTTGCTAACAAAAGCATGTACAAAACTGAATAGTGAAAGCAAGATGAGTACACCCCACTTGCTTTGCTTTGACAGTTATGGTGTATGAGCAAATACTTGCTTTAGTCCGCTATGTTCAAGAAGCTGACCGTATTTTTGTCACTTTAGAAGGTAGTTCATGTGCCAACCTGCAGCTTTGTAGGTTATGATTATTACTTTTTATTTATTTCCTTTCATACAGGCCATGCCTCCTTCCTTCCCCACAAATCTGTTGAAAAACAGTATCACCAAGTACCTCACAGGAGCTGATCTGCACAACTCCTATAGGCTTGTGGGAAAAGAGAATACTATGGAGCCTCGGTCTGAAGACTCATCTGGAAAGTCACAGAAAGGGGCAGGACTTTGCTTGAAATGCAGAAAAGAATAAACCTGGCAGTTCACACTACCTATCCAACCCCTTCCTGAAGCAGCTGACAATGACCTCTGCAACCTCTTGCTGAAGTAGCTAGTTGTGAACCACTCTAATTCAGGAGCCAATTTTATCATCAATTAAGTTAACCAAGCTTAAACGGACACCTTTCATTTAAGAAGAATCAAACAAACTAATGTAGTCATGCCTATTACACTGTGAGCTTTCATAGCATGCATTTGCAAAAAGTACATGTATTTTAATGCTTTCGGAAATTACAAATTAAACCAAATAAGCAGAAGAGCTAGCCAACTGTCTGGTTCAAAATCACTGTCTCAAAAGTTTTGATTCTTCTTTGTTTAACCATTTCATTATGTGACACAGATCAGTAACACAGAGGGCTGGCCCTGTTTAAAAAGAAATTGTAAATAGTTCCAAACTACAGTGATAAAAGAATTTTACGAGCTTTCAAAATACCTCATGTCCAAGCTACTTCGGTGACTTAACATCCCTCTAGTTTGAAAATAGTCTGCTACCTATTTTTATAATAATTTTAATATGTCCTAAATCAAAATATTTTTTCTTATATTTTACAGTATTATATATTTATACCATAAAAGATTTGGGGCAGGGTGTGTTAATTAGTCTATACTTGTGAAGTCTTTATGATAACCGCTCAGTTTTCGGCAAGTTACATGGCATCATGCCTAAAATAATTTTATGATGAAAGAAAGAAAATAGGCTTTTTGCTATGCCCAGCACAAATTACGTATTTCTTTTATAAATGAAATCACGTATTCTAAGTGCCTAATTATTTCTGGGAATTATTACTCTTTCAATATTAGGGAGGTTAACTAACAGCTCTTTTGATTGAAGGTTACAGAAATAATTTTTCTAAAAGACTGATCACATTAGTGAATGACAGTGATATAATCAATGATATCATAACAGAACATATTTTTATTACCTGATCCAGACATTCAACTAAGTGATTTTTCACAGTCAGTTATGAGCCATCCTTCACCCACATGTGCAACGAATTCTCAGCTGGCATTTAATTTTAATGAAAAGGAGGATGTTTAGATCACTTAGGCAAGTACACAACCATTGCTGCCCTTCTGAAGAACTCTAAGTTGGTGCAAATTTTTGACTCCAGCTGATACGCAAGTGATGACTGAAAACTAAGTTTCTGAATCCCAACAGATATTAGTGGGACAATTCCTTCTAGCTCTAGGATGTGAAACATAAAGTGCCATGTACAAAAAAGAAACCTGTCTTAGGTATGATGTGACAAAATTTGGCTACCTTACATTTGCTGACATAGCATTTTCTGTTTGAATTCTTCACCATGTATGAAAAGTACAAGTATACTGTATCTTTCGTCAATTGAACATTCTACATTATTTATTATTAATATGGTAAGAAAAAAAAATACAAAGCTTGAGACTTTAACATCTATTACAACTAAGAAATGAAATTATAAAGGCTAATAAAGGAAGCAAATTATTTCACTTATTTTTAGATACAAAATATGGAAATTCTGTATAGTAATATGCAAACTGTTTCACATGAGAAAGTATTTCAGATACACACTTTGAAAACAAAGCCTCAAAATGTCCTAAACTAGAATTTTAGTTTGGTACACTACAGCTGAAGAAAATAATCGTTTGCACTTTGTCACAATTTCATTCACTATGATTCACATTCAAATCTATGTCAAAGCAATGTTTCTTCATGTACTGAGAAAAAAATTATTAGATATGATTAAAGTTTCCTATCTATGGGTACAAAACTCATCATCAGAAAAAAAGTATTTTCATGTATATCACTTGCAAATGCTTATCCCAAGATACCTGAACAATTATTTAATGTAATAGCAGGATGATTATAGAATAGTCCTATCTTCAGTAAGGTTTCTTTGATATTTTCATGTATATTTTTAGGCTTCCTAGTTGATTCCTTGACATTTTTCTTTTTGTCTTTATTTTTTTTAAATTCACAATTTAGTTGTTTGTTGTTTTTTTTTTTATGCTTATAATGACTATGGAAAACCACAATACATAGTCTTAGATTTTATCTAGTGGGCTTTTCCCTGAAACAAATATGTATGCTTACTAGCTGTAAAAACATTTTTAATAAACCTAGTCTGAATTTGCAATTCACACAAATGTATTACTATTTATTAAGTAATACACACGTCAGAGGGATGGGATGCAATGCAGAGGGACCTGGACAAGCTTGAGAAGTGGACGTATGTGAACCTCATGAGGATCAACAAGGCCAAGTGGAAGTTCCTGCACCTGGGTCGGGGCAACACCCATTATCAATGCAGGTTGGGGAATGAAGGAATTGAGAGCTGCCCTGAGGAGAAGGACTTGGGGGTACTGGTGGACATGAGCCACTAATGTGTGCTTGCAGCCCAGAAGGCCAACTGTATCCTGAGCTGCATCAAGAGAAGCGTGGCCAGCAGGTCAAGGGAGGTGATTCTGCCCCTCTACTCCACTCTGGTGAGACCTCTCCTGGAGTCCTGCATCCAGCTCTGGAGCACCCAGCACAAGAAAGACATGGACCTGTTGAAGCGGGTCCAAGAGGAGGGTAACAGAAACGATCTGAGGGCTGTAACTCCTCTCCTATGAGGAAAGGCTGAGAGAGTTGGGATTTTTCAGCCTGGGGAAGAGAAGGCTCCAGAGAGACTTTACAGTAGCCTTTCAGTACTTAAAGGGGGCCTATAGGAAAAATGGGGAAAAAATTTTCAGCAGGGTTTGTTGTAACAGGACAAGGAGTGATGGCTTCAAACTAAGGGAGGGTAGCACTAGCTTGGGTATAAGAAATTAATTTTTTACAATGAGGGTGGTGAAACACTGGAACAGATTTCTCAGAGAGGCAGTGGAGGCCCCATCCTTGGAAACATTCAAGGTGTTGGACGGGGCTCTGAGCAACCTGGTCTAGTTGAAGATGTCCCTGCTCGTTGCAGGGTGGTTGGGCTAGATGACCTCTAAAGATCCTTTCCAATCCAAAGCATACTCTAATTCTATGATTCTAACAATTCTATGATTCTATATTATTTTATATTAAGTTTTGATTTCTGATGCATAGCTGTAAACATCACAGGTCATAAAAACTTGATCTTTGCTTCAGTTGTGTCAAATTTCCCTCTGATTTTATTGATAGAAAGTAAAAGAATTAAAATAGATGCTCACATTTCCTTGTTTCTGTCCCATTTTAGGTTGTAATGTAGATTACTGAAAGAAGAGGAACTCATAGAGCAAGATAATAACATTTAGATTTTTCTTGTCTGCAACCACTTCCTGAAAGCTTGCACTGGAAGTTTCAGATACTGAAAAATTCTTCCAGTCCTTTGGGATTTAGTGGAAGATTTTAACCAAGGATTATTTTCATATTTTTTATTAATTTTTAACCATTTCTGTGCCATGGGCTGTGAAAAAATGCATATTCTGAAACAGCAGCTGACATAATCAGTTTACACCTGAATATACTAAAGAGTAGAAGGCAGAAGGAAAAAAAAATGGACTGGAATATCTTAGACCCCACCTGAAGTACTGTATCCATTTCTAAGGTCCCCAGTACAAGAAAGACATGGACCTGTTAGAGCGGATCCAGAGGAAGGCAACAAAAATGGTCAGAGTGCTGGAACACATCTGGAACACATCTCCTATGCAAAAAGGCTAAAGGAGTTGGAGTTGTTCAGCATGGAGAAGGGAAGGCTCCCAGCAAGAGCTTATTGTGGCCTTTCAATATACAAAATATGCAAGAAAGGTGGAGGAAGACTTTTTATCAAAGCCTGTAGTGAGAGGAGAAGGGGTAATGGCTTTTAACTGAGACGGTAGGTTTAGATTGGACATGTTTTTGCAATGAAGGTGGTGAGATAGTGGACCAGGTTGAGGAGAGTTGTGGATGCCTCGTCCCTGGAAGTGTTCAAGGTCAGATTCGACAGGGCTTTGTGCAACCTGAGCTAGTGAAAGATGTGTCACTTGGATTTGTCTTTTTAATTTCATCTGCTGTTAAAGTGAATCAAACCAAAGTTGTGAAAAAGAACATTCCTAAGCATTAAGTTGTCCAGCAAACATATCTTGGTTTTGGTGAGGGCTAATCTATTAAAAGGATTAGATGGTATTCACTATAACTGACCATCCAATCCTGAACTTATGTGGAGCCCACTGGGCCTTGTTATAAAGATGGATGTATTATACATTTAAGGTATACACGAAGTATCATTAAGTCAGTAGATATTTTGCAAGTTAAAAAAAAAACAAAAAAAATAACCCACGATCTTGAAGAGATAATGATGCAAAGTTTCCCTGTGCACACTGGTACTCTTTCCAGAAGTCACATAGAAAATATTTTCAAAACAAGCCAGTTCCTTTAACATTCAATTTGCAATTTCCTCTTCATGTTAAATATCAATGAGAGAGCCTGATTCTCCCAAATTACGTTCTTGCTAACAGAGTTTTTGCTTATTTTGAGTTTACTTTTTCTACTTCTGTTGAGATGGTACTTCACATTTATACATGATTTTCCAGATTTTAAAATGACCTTCCAACAAATTAAAAAGAAATTCACAACAACCTCAAGGCACACTCATTAATTCAAAAACATTACCTGAGCAATGAGGAAGAGATCCGCTCCAGTGTCCATTTAACTGACATGTACGAGACGACTGCCCTAACAGTGATCGTCTACCTGTGCAGCTATAATGAACAGTGGACCCAAATGTATATTTATCTCCAGACAGGACCGCGTTAGGAGGAACGCCAGGATGGCCACAGTCAATCACTACAATGCATAATTATTGGAGATAAAAAAAGGTTATTATCACTGATCAAACAGTTTGGAGTTATCACTTTCATAACTCCACACATAAACATTGTGAAGAGGCTGACCTTTTTAGGGTTTGGAGGAGAGAGGCACATTACATGGTTAGAAATGCAACATACATTACAGACCAAAATCTGTGCAACAAATGTTTTTCATCCATTGAAGTTAATTGCACAGAGATTGGAGGGAATTTCTATAGGATCTCAATCTCAGAAATTGTCATGAACTCCCTGTCAATGGTTTATTGAGTAAATTTTGTTAAATAATAGTTAGTTATTTCCATACTGTGGTTATTTTTAGTACTCTTAATCTTGACATTTTGGTGATTTCCACTTGCATTTTGCACATAAGGGTATCCGACAATTAGCATATACACACTTAATTTTACTAGTTGTCTCAAATGTCACGAAGTACATAAACTCAAGAAAAAACAATGGGAAAACATAACTTGATATCTTTTGTCCTTTAATTACCTCTAATACAGAAAATTATAAGTGGCTCTTGCTATAAATGGTCAAAGAGAGTCATTTGTTTAGGAATTAAAAACAGGCTAAATAGCAGAAACCTGATCTAAACTCAGGATAAGACCACTGAAATAATTTCAGCAGCTTCCTATCTACTGTAAAGTTGTATAAAGTAACTGTTAAGCTACCCTGCCTAGATCAACAGGAAGCTAGTTACTCCATAAGACTAAGGTAAAATTACAGCAGGTCTTATGCATCGTTATGGAGAACATTGTCTACATGGACAATGTAATGAAGACGAAGTTCTGTGTTGAAAAGAAATAGCTAATCTGCCTTTTAAGGTAAAGAGCACATATAAAAAAGCACAAAAGAAACCCCCTCAACATGCTGAATTAATATAGAGAAAACTTTTAAGAATTCGGATCAGGGAGTTCATTTAAAAGCAAGATAAATATGTCAAGTTCAGGAAATGCAGTTAAAATCCATAAACCAAATTCACTCTTTTCACAGAACAAATCTAGTATTGCATGTTTGATTCCTTTTTGTCTTACACCTGTACATGGCATGTAGCATATCATGGCCAAAAATATTTGTATTTATGCATCATGAAAACCACAAATTGTAGCTGCAAATATTAGGCTACTAGAACAGTCCCCTAAATCATACAAATGTATTTTTTATCAATAAATACAATTTTCACCACCATAACATTTCTAGCAGGATTTTTTTTTACCAAAAAAGTGAGATCAGAAGCCTGCTAAGGGTTGAAGAGTTCTCTAGCACTTCAGATGTATACAACCGTACAACAGTTGTACAACACAACATACGACCAAAGTCATGTGTGGTGATCCACCTTCCTCTAATGATTACTTTTGGTATTAGGGCTTTACATTTATACACACATTGAATTGTATGCACAACCATCCTGATAACACCACAAATGATTTAGGAATGTGGTATGTGATAGATTGACTTTGATTCCTACCTAGTGCCATTGACGCCTGTGACCATTTTGTAGGTTGCAGGACTTTGAGGAAACTGGTCAGAATGATTTGATTTACAAACTGGGCACTTGCTTTTAGCATGCTATATGTTCATTCATTTGCTTATAAATAAAATCTATTATTAATTATGCATGATTGTAGAGAAGGCAAACTTAGAATATTGCTAAAAAAAAGTCATGTTTGTCACATAGGCTTCAGTGAAATGAAATTATTTCTTCGTGTGAAAAATATTCACAATTTTTCAGAGTGTGTTTATTATCTGCATTTTTTTTGACTGATTTTTTTACCCTTTTCAGATGTTGTCATAGAAGGAAGTTAATTTCTTACTGGTGCCCTACAGCTTTCTGTTTTGGGCTTTCCTATACATATTTGTCTTTTATGTTTAAAGTTATGTCTAAAAGTCCTGGATTACTAATAACAGATTTAGAAAATTATACAACCCTGTAATGCTACCCTTCACTTGATTATATATATTACAGAATTTAATTTTATATTCATATTCTGAGGGGAGATTTCATATGAAAAGTTGAATATATTTCTGCCTTTTTTCTCATAATGCTAAGAAAAAGAAAAAGAAATGAGAATGATATCACTAGTCTTCTTCAGAGTATCTAAAACCATAAGGTCAAATTTTATTTTTTCATTAGTATGGCAATTATCAATCAATTTCTGTCACACCAAAACCTTGATTTCCTTAAAAAAGAAAACCAAAATCTGAGAGAAAGATATGCAAATAATGCTTTTGCCAGTGTTCTTTTGCCGATGTGACATTTAATGGCTGTTTCTTTCTCCCCCCATTCCGGAAAAGCAGAAAGAAGTATAAATTCACATCTATTTCTCATCAAATATGACGATGTATTGTTCCGGGTTCAGCTAGGATAAAGTTAATTTTCACAACAAGCTGGTTGGGCTGACCCCAACAGCCAATCAAATGGGATATTCTATACCATGTCATGTCACGCTCAGTATTCAAGTGGGGAACTGGCTGAAGGTGAGGCTTTTTGCTACTCAGGAGCAAGCTGAGAATTGGATGGTGAGAACACTGCATGTTGTATATGCTTTTTATCAGTATTATTGATTGTTGTTTTCTTCTCCCTTTGCCATTCCGTTAAACTGTTCTCATCCCAACACACAAGTTTTGCCTTTTTCCTTCTGATTCTCTTCCCCATCCCACCGGGGAGGTGGGAGGAGTGAGAGAGCAACTGCGTGGTTCTTTTGTTGCAAATTGAAGTAAAACCACAACATGTATTAGTAAAATTACAGCATTATTAGTTTAAAGCCCAATTAAATTTACAGATGTTCAATTAAATTTACAAATGTTATAACCTAATTATTGAATACTAAATGAAAAAATACACTTGAAGTTTCTTTAATCTGTATAGTTGTCAACAATTCTTATCATTCTATCTGACAGCTGAGAATAGCTGTATATGTAGTACTGTGAGGGAAGAAATATCAGGACAAAGTGCTGTGATAGAATTATGGAGAGGATGGCAGAGACACCAGCAAAGAACTAGTCTAAGTTATCTGGATTTCGAGCTTGGAAGGCGTAGATTGTGTGTACTCACATCTCAGTAGCTTAAAAATAACAAATCAGAGTATGTCTCAGAACTAAACTGAGAATACTTTGCACTACAAAAAAAACTTCATATGGTCACTGGAATTCTTTGAGGTGTGTTGTCCAAACATCTACTTCATTTTGAGTACATTTCAAATTTAAAGTATTTTTATAGCAACATGTGCCTTAGTAGCATATGCCCCTGAAAGTCTTTAATTCAAAAGGAGAGTTGATAGAGTGTTATGGTCCAGGCCAATGCTGAATTCTGCTTCTTAAAGAATTTATAGTAGCTAGAAATACTCTAACTACTACACATTTCAAAGGAATTGAGTCACTTTGTAGGTGAAAATCTTTTCCTTTGTTACCATGGCTCTTCTCCATTACCTAGAAATATTTCAGAAAAAGGTATGTTCTTTGATACTACTTAGAGAGAGACTGAAATTCAGCTAGGTCAAAAAACCAATCCAGCCTGGGTCAAAGAAAAATATCGTCAGATTTGGACTTCTTTTCACTTGTTCTTACAGGGCAAAAATAAGCTGACTACTAAATCACTGCCCTGCATATGCCCAAAAGGGAAACAATTTGCAAAACACTCCAGGGGCTAAAAAAGCTCTTATAAAAAAAATCTTAGGCAGCTGCATCAGAATAAGTTTTGGTAAGGTTTATGATTACAAAATATCATGGATGGTATGAAGTTAGAATTCATTGACTCCTCTATATAAATGACAAAAATAAAGCTGAGGATGCCCTTTCAAAAGCACATATAGCACTGTTACTCCCAAATGTTAGCTTAAAGGCAGAGTAAAACCTGTAACACTGAATTACTTGTGACAATTCTGAAAGAAGATTAAGAGATAAAAATAAAAAAGTAGAAAAAAGAAATATATGCATCTATACCTTCAGAATTTCATTCTCTTTGAAGGTATTTTACTATTAAGTAACATTTATCTTTCTGAAATGGTAATGTTACCTAAAAATTTAATATGAAACTGTTAGAACTTTGTTATAAGTTTAACTGTGACTTGCAATCAAGCTATTTATCCCATCGAAGAACGGGACAACTTCCAGAACTAAAGGTTTTAACAGCAAGAAGAAATAAAATGTCAGAGTTGTTTTTTTTTTTTAGAGAGAGGATAACAGAATTGGAGAGACCTCAGTTAAAGAAGACTAACAAAGGTAAAACTGAGAACTAATGTCTAAAATATTGCAAATTTCACTGCATGATTCCTAAATAAGGAACACTTAGACTGTTTTCCCTTTAATCTCTAGAAAATAAAGCTTTTAGCCTATCTCAGAGAGAAATTTTTATCCCAGAACAAAATCTTTTCCACAGACTTATAGGGAACTGGGTAAACCAGCTTTCCCAGCCAATGAAAAACCTATGACACATCTGCAGCTGTATCTACACCAGACTTAGAAAGTTGTTTATGACAATCCAGAATAAAAACAACTTCCTTGTGTTGATCCACTTGCCTTAGTGGATAGGCTGTATATGACTATGAAGTTCAGGTACATCTGATACTGTGGTGAGCTGAGGACATGATCCAGAGGACGCTTCTGATGCTCTACAGTACCATTATTGTTAGCTTACTGTCTTCACAGTTAGTCTGATCTTGCTGCTGTCTCAAATGACATCCAGAAAGTACTGTCGTGACAGAGGTCAATAATTGGGTACTACAGTTTTTAAGCTTCGGTGTGATTATAGCTCTGTGGACAAAGGAGGCCATGTACTGGAAAATTCAATGGATATGTTTTTACTTTCTATCCCTGCTACCAGGGATCATTGTGCTGAAGCATTCGGAGATGTTTGTTTCAGTTATCGTATTTCCCAAGGTTTCTGTGTTAATTTCTACATACAATAACAATATAACTGTGCTAATTCAGCTGCTACTGAGACCTTCCATCATTACTGCACAATCACAAATGTATATAAATGTGATTATTCTAATTGATGTCATGAGACTGATAGAAATGTTGTGTAAAATAATACCTAGCCTAGTTCACATTCTTTATACAAGCATACACATTATCTACTTACTAATGCATTCAGGTAGAGGTTTGTCCCAGTGGCCATTTGGCTGACAAATTAAAACTGAAGAGCCAAATAAAAAATATCCAGGATTACAGTCATAAAATACTACTGTGCCATAAGTGAAATTTCCATGTTCGATTTTACTTTCTCTTATGGAATTTGCAGGAATTCCAGGATCAGAACAATTGACCACTGAAAAGAAAAAGAGCATAGACTTGAGAGTCATATAAATACAGCCTACTAAAGTGGTCTTTAAATGGTCTTCTATATTTTCTATTAGAAAATTTGAATGTGTTGCTACCTTGATTTTATATACCCTGATTTTATATAAGATGGTAATGAATTAGGAAGATGAAACAAAACCAGGAGATGTTAAAACCGTGAGATGCTAAAATCAGAGCAAATAAAAGGAAATGTTTCTTCTATTTGCCACTAAAAATGACTGTACATACCAATATATTCAATTTATACTCTTGCCTTGACATAAACTATTGCTCACAGCAGGAAACAGATTATTAGGCTAGATGTGCCTTTGGTCTAACCCACACAGCCATGCAAATACACTTATATTCCTATACTAACGTTTTGATAATGGAGCACCTTTCAGGCAGTTGTTTTGAGCTAAAGGGCAGATGATCAGTTAGGGGAGACCGTGGTGATTTTGCTAGAACAGAGAAATACCCCAACAAATGGGTATACGTTTTTATTAATATGTGTATACTTTGGCGGTTAAGAGTACTGATGGATTTTTTGAGTTCCCAACTACTTTTGGATTCATATATATGAAAATCATAGAAGACAGATTTTCTTTTTTTTTGTGACTTACAGCTGTCTAGGGAGTGGAGTATAATACTTATTTTGGGAATCATGGAGATTTTTTTACAGTTTCCATGCAATAGACTCCTCTGGTCAAATAAACACATCAGCATCTATTTAAAAAATAACAACTTCTCATCAGCAAAAAAGCCCTTGGAAATTTGAGTTCTGTAGAGTATTTGCCAGTATCGCTTAAGGCAAAGTGATGAAGAGAAAGTAGAGGACACCTATTGGAAGCAAATATACAGTGAATTTAATTACTATAAATGTATAATATGACTTAGGCTGCATGAAGATAAAAATTCATTGCAGCTGCTTGGGAGATGCTGAAAAACAGTCAATACAATTTCTGCATATGTGCAAGCAGGTTACAGGAAAGAGTGCATTTTTCTAAATGAGGACAATTAAAACATTTAAAAAGCACATAACAACAGACTTAAAAAGGACAACGGTGATAAAACCTTTCTAAAGAGCTTATGAAAACTCAGGCAGAACTAATTTCATAACATTCCTTTATTTTCAGCAAAAGATATTAAATATAATATCCGGAAGTGTCGAGAAGAAGCCTGAATGGATTATGCTAACAAATTTGAATTAAAAACAAAAGTCAAGATGATCAGTCAGATCAATGGAAATGTAAAGGGAAAAACGTGTATTTTCCTCTGGACTTAGAACTGTATTGGCTAAGAATGCAGAGAACATTATTTTAGAATTTAAGCTGTTAATTTTCTTTGCATGATTTTGCTTTAAGGTACTGGTAGAAACCACTTTAAAAAATCGATACAAACTATAGACACATTAAAAAGTTTCTCTGCAACAGTTATCCTGGCAACCTTCTGAATATAGAACAGATCTAACTTAAAAATGAAACATATTCTTTAATAATTTGCTGCATGTTAGTAAGAGAGGCATAATTTTGTCTTTACAGATTTTCCCTTTCCCTTCAGTTTATTTTTCTACCTTGATTTTCCAACTAGGTTTGAAATCTGTGAATGCTTGCATTCTTACCTTTGCATATTGGAGGTGGGTGGCTCCACTGCCTATTAGATTGACATTGTGCTTTAGTTGGTCCTTGCATAACATACCCAGTATTACACAAGAATGTCACAACGTCATTGAAGTTGAAACCATTTCCACTTGTTCTTCCATAAATAGGACTACCAGGGTGACCACAGCTAACGGCTAGCATAACACAAAAAAAAAACAAATAGAAAATGCTGTTACCACTTGTCGTGATTTATGATATAATAGATAATCATTATAATCATTACATAATAGTATTTTAAAGTTTTCATATTACTAGATGCTGAGTACTTTCCATGAAAAATTCACAGTTCTGTGAACTGGGTAAGAAATAAGACATATTTTAGTAAATGTTCAAGAACTTTTAAAAATATTTAAATAAAGTTGATAGCAGTAACCAACGCAAATGAAGAAAACTTTTCTGAAGCATCAGGAGAAAAGCAAGTACTTGTTTTTCATCACATATAGTCTGAAATTGAAAGGAAATATTTCAGTCTGTTCATTCCTCAGGAACTACTTCTTACAAATATGTCTTAATATTCACTCATTTTGTTTTATCTTTGAGGCCTAAGTACTTAATGATATAAATTTATGACTGAATATCTGAAACATCATGGGCACTGTGAAATTTTTCTTCTATTTATACAAAAAACGACTACAGAAGGTAAAGTTCCTTTTCTCTGCCCACAAAGATAAGATGCAAAAATAGTAAGGAAAACAAATCACAAATTCATTTTCCCAAAATAATTCCAAAATGTATAAGCACTTTATTCTATGTTTTTAAAAATTCCAGTAGCTGATAAATAAAATATTAATCAGTAATTAAAAGTGAAAAAAATCACAGAATAAATTAATTCACTGTAAAATGGTTTTCACTGTAAAAACTTCATTGCTTTTCTAAATCAATTTTGTTGGGTCTCACAAATACATGTTGTTTTTCACCACGTAGAACAGACTTTTCATAATAACTCTAAAAGAAACCCATTCATATAATCAAAGTGAAATAAGATCTTTAACAACATGAAAAAAATTAAAATGGTACTTAAAAATTAGTACAGCATACAGACAAGTCACAGTATATTCTGTGAATGGAAGTTAAATTGAATTCTGTACGTCCTATTACTATCACTAAGTTATTTTAATTAAATATATTATTTTTATGTTACAGGCATCAGAAATTTTTGTATAAGAAATTGAATTTTTTCCCCAAAAGAGTAATTGGAGTTGTACACTAAACCTTTAACACTTGTAAAACTGTCAGGCAAAGATACACATTCAGCCTACAGAGGTTTTTTAATGTATAGATATTAATAATAAAAACAATTATTTTGAAATTTTCATAGAAATTTGATTTTGTACTAATACATCTGCCTATTGAATGAGGAAGAATAATTGTGAATTCAAAAGTGGAAAGGTCAAAGTCAGTAAATTTAAACACATAATCTCAGAAATTCAATTAAAACTTCTAAAGTTAAATAAAGATATGTGAGACTATTTTTATACACTTCATTTGAACCTCTGATCTGAATTGGAGCTTTTCCTAAATATCTGTAACAAAGTTAGAGGCAGCTGCTGTTTATAGCAGCCTTTTGCAAGCCTAAACTTTTTCCAAGGTCTTGCGTCCTTTTCTGAATTGCTGTATTGCGCATCCCCCTGTACTCAAACAAGCAACTTCCATTTGATTAAAGAAGACACATCCATTTTCTCTGCTCTTAGCACATCCATTAAAATTCTTTTTCAGTTCTAACAATGATATTAACATTTTAATTTAGAAATTCCTGATTAATGGTGTCTAATTTTATTGCCTTAACAGTTACCTATAGTGTGTTGATCTGAAATGTAATATAAAGAAGTAATGATCTATTACTAGATCATAAAATGGAAACAAAATTAAGAAATACTTTTATTAAAATAGTGTAATGTGTATCTAGTTCCGCATAAAATAGAGTGGGCAATAAGTGTAACAAATTAACAGTGTGTGCTATGATTCATCATTCAGATAGTTTCTTCTAAAAAAATGTAGCTATAAAATAGAATATTTGGAGGCAGATTAATGCATTTTCAATACACTGATATTACTGACAGTGTATTATTGAAACATACTTGTAATTTACTTGAAAATCCTTAGAGAACTAAAAATTTTCCTAAATGTAATACAGTACTTTCTGGTATTACGCCATAGTATTTCATGTGATATGTTGACATACTTATCACACAAAAGAAGCCTCATTAACAAAAATGTAAAACTTGTGCTAGAAAAGTGAAAACCCAAACAGAAAACAAAATAATAATATCTCTGTGAGAAGACGAAAAAAAAAGTATGTTAAAGAAAATATTTTAATCATCGGTGTTGTCAGTGTAATTAAAGACTATTTACCCAACTACCACAGTCAAAGGAAATGTACATTAAATATTTCCAAAAGCCACTAAGTGACTTTTAAAGCCATTTTAAAATTTAGGTACCTGGGTGCCTAAGCCCCAGCAGCTTTTGAAGAGGTTTCACATTCATATACAAATGACAGGTCATTTAGTAACCAAAAGATGCAGAAATTCAGCTGAAATTTTAAGTGACAACATTAAACTTTACCTGATAGATGAATCATAGATTTCAGGTGGCCACATACCTTTGAGGATCTGCTTTAAATAATTTTTTCTGAAAAATAAATACTAAGATGCAAAGTCACCCCTTATCTTGTCTGACATAGACATTCCTGTAACATAAGTCACTATGTGTTACCACGCTTACTTACGCACACAGGATGGAAGCTGACCAGACCAGTTGTGATCCTGCTGGCATATTCGTACAGAAGAACCAATCAACCGAAAACCAGGACTGCACTGGTACACAACGGTGTCTCTGTACCCATAATTTTCTCCAATTACTTGACCATTGACTATAAAATCCGGAACACCACAGTGACCAGCTAAATTTTTCAAAGTAAATTTAAAAAAAACACAAAAAAGGTAAGTAAATATGCCAGCAAAATTTTATATATACTTCCATAATTAAAACAAAGAAATGCTGAGTAGGTTTTCATTTTTTGTACTAACTTAATTGAAATGTTTACTTTTGTTAACTTGTGGAAAACTGCAGTATTGCATTTGCATAGGCAGAACTGTACACATCTAAAACTTATAAAAAGACTGTGTAACAAAGACATTAAATGTCATGTATATTATCAAATTTCTTTTCAAAAAGTATGAATGACTCCTTTTTATTAAAATGTGTAAAATTCTATACTGGAATAAGTACATATAATATAAATATTATATTGCTCCCAAATATAAATATTTAGGAAGGACAAGCAAGGGAGATGAGGAGCAGGTGTTGCCCGCTATGTCAATGACCAGCTGGAGTGCACGGAGCTCTGCCTGGTGATGGACGAGGAGCCAAAGGAGAGCTTATGGGTCAGGACTAAAAGCAGGGCACGGACAGGTGACATTATAGTGGGGCCTGCTACAGGCCACTGGACCAGGAAGACTGAGTCGATGAGGCCCTCTACAGGCAGATAGGAGCAGTCTCACATTCACAAGTGCTGGTCCTCATGGAGGACTTCAACCACCCCAATATCTGTTGGAGGGACAACACAGCAGGGCGTAAGCAATCTAGGAGGTTCCTGGAATGCACTGACGACAACTTCTTTCTCCAAGTGATAGAGGAGCCCACAAGGAGAGGTGCTATGCTGTTCTCACTACCAAGGAGGGACTGGTGGGGAATGTGAAGCTCAAGAACATTTAATCTAGAGAGAGGCATAGAAAAAGGATGAACCATGTATGACTTATTGCTATTTTAATTCATGACCTCTGGAAAAAGGGTACTGTGATTCAGTAAATAATGTGGTAATGGAAAATCCTTTGAGAATGGTTTACCTTGTGGATAATGCGACATATGGCAGAGAACTCACTGCAAACACAACTAAGGCAAGCAAGAAGAACAAGCAGTGTTTCATCTAGTACTTTAGTGAAAAAAATTATTACCAGCCACCTAAACCCCTTTGTTCTCCTTTTCTCCTTCACTTGTCCTCAAAACAAAACCCACAAACAAATGTCAAAACATGGGGTTGCTAATAAAAAAGCACATTCAGAAGCAATATGGTTTAGATGATTTATTCCTTTGAACTTCAAGGTTTTAGAATACTGTGATGTAATTTTCAGCATTTTACCTCAATATTTCAGGGCTAGAAACTTCCTAAAAAAAAAAAAATTGCAGATCAGAGATTTTCTCATAAGTTGTTTCTGGAAATTTAAACCTCATATAGTGTTTCATTGTACGAATCATGATAAAATTGTCAGAATTTACAATGTAGATAGCATATGACCCTGCACACAGATTAAATTGATGAGTGCAATTCAACATCTGTAGAAGAAACAGAAGTCCAAGTCTGGTACTGTTCAAGAGTATATTCCCCTTTGTCCCCTCTCCATTTCCCTCAGTGTTATGCAAGAACCAGGCATACTTGAAATTTGTTTTATGTTTTCTGGGCTAAGATGGCATAATACATGTTCATAAAATTTTTGTCAGAGTACAACTTGATTCTCCAGGAAAGTTGTAAACTGTTCAGTACGTAGCAGACCTTCTTGAACATGACACAAAGGGCCCAAGTTCCCTATCCTACCACATTTTTGATGAAGATAAACAGGACTAACAAGATGAGGACTGAAAACTGAAAGGGTTCAAAGGAGGCCCACAAAGAATCAAAGGGCTGGAGAACCTACCCTATGAGGAAAAGCTGAAGATGTCGGTTCCTGAAGAAGAAAAGGCTCAGGGGGGACCTCATGACAGTATTCCAGTACTTATCAAGGGCAATTACAAGTGGACGGAGGATTTCTCTTCACATGGAGTAATGTCAAGAGGACAAGGTGCAACGTGTACAAGTTGCATTGTGAGAGTTTTCATCTTGACATAAGAAAGAACTTTTTTTTACAGTAAGAACCAACATTCACTGAAACAGCCTCCCCAGGGATGTGGTAGAGTCCCCATCACTGGTTTTCAAGATGTGACTGGACTGGGTGCTAGATAATCCCATCTAAGATCCATTTCCCATGAAATAGTTGACCAGATTATCTTTTGAGGTCCCTTCCAACTTGAGCTGTTCTAAGATTCTATTACTTCCGATCACTCTGTCTTGATTATCTCCTCCCACTCTGCATAACAGTTACATCTTTGGAGTACTAACTATACTGTATGACTAATTGTGATGCAGTCACTGTTAGTAAAGAAGTGTAAATACTCCTATCCCCATGCAAGGTTTCCAAACAGAAAAATAAAGAAATCTAGATGGCGGAGCACTGGAACAGGTTGCCCAGGGAGGTTGTGGAGTCTCCTTCTATGGAGATGTTCAAGACCTGCCTGGACAAGGTCCTGTGCATCCTGCTGTAGGCGACCCTGCTTTGGCAGGGGGGTTGGACTAGATGACCCACAGAGGTCCCCTCCAACCCCTAACATTCTGTGATTCTGTGATTATAAAACTGTAGTTCTATCATAACAAAATTCTAAATCGATGTATTGTGACAGTGTTAAGAAATTAAATAACATTTAAAAACATAATATGCCAGACTAGTGATACATTTTGCATCTCAATTTTAAAAACAAATAGAAACCATTTGGGATTCACAGGACTTGTGTCCAGTTTTCACTCTGCTTTCCAGAGGAAGTTTTGTCTGAGAGACATAAAAAAAATTAAAAACAAACACCACCACCACCCCAAAAAAAACAAAGCAAAATGATGGATTCATCCTTATTTGTTTCATAGTCAAAATACCATCTGTCATGTAAGTGAATGTGGTAAACAGTTCAGTCTGCTGTTGAAAGTATATAATGGTATACATAGTTCCTGTTAAGAAAACCCGTGAGAACTGAAATTCCATTAATTTGCGCAGATGAATAAACTCTCCAGGTTGCAATACAGTCAGAGACTCATTAATATTTTCCAGAGTTTTTTTTCTTTGTCTGCTTTATGTTCCCACCCTATTACACATCCACAGAGCTGGTCTCCCTCAGAGAAAATAAAAACCTTTCACTTGTAGTAGTTGCTATCACTACTTCTCCAACACCAAGAGGGGAAGAAAAATATCCCCAACACCTAGACCAACAAAAAACCCCACCACCTTCCACACCCATATCTGGCAGAGTAATTATGACTTAATTGCTCTTCCATTCTATTCCGATTTTGTTGTATTTCTTCTGAAAGCAAGGTGTTTATTTCTTGTTCTCATGGCTATTAGTAGATTTCTCCCCTTTTCTCATTTTTGTCTTAAGACTCCAATGAAGAAAAGAAGGACATGTTCGAATTTATAACTGCATATCCTGGTATTTTTTATGTTCAGTTCTGCTGTCATTTGTTTTTCAAGACTTTCACTTTAAACTGTTATTTTAAGGGATTTTTGACAAATAAAGATATTTATTTCCCCTTAATAGCATTCTGAAATGAATTTTTGAAGTGCCATACAGAAGTCTTTGGTGCCTTTTTTGTGTATCATACATTTGCATCTATATCTATAGGTGCATATATATCTATAAGAATAGTGAGTTTGGGGTTTTAGAGGGTTTCTTTGTGGAAAGCTTTCAAAGCTTTCAGATTACTTCTGATTCTTTGGTAGTCTTAGAAAAACACATACTGCACATGTATAGTTTTCTGAGAAACTGCCTGTATTTCTGAATGAGACATACTTACTGTGCAATGGCATCAAAGATCAACTCTATTTCTTCATTTTATCTCAGCTGTATCTCTAAAACATTTTTCTACTCAATTTCTTGTATTATATACGTATCACCAACATGATGTCATTGTTGTCACATCTATTTAAACACGGAGTAACATACAGACTTCTCTACTGCAAAAAGTAGTGCAAAGTCATAAAGGGACATAATTGTAAATCTGTTCTCGTTTGAGAAATACGTCACACTTACCCCAACTGAATCATCATGGAAGAGTAACAGTTTAGTTGTGAAATCTGGTATAATAAAACTGAGTAAAAAGATAAAACTGGTTGTTGTAACAACTAGCCTTCATTCAACATGACCATAAGGTGTGGTTAACTGTCTTTTTGCAATGAGGTAGCTAAATTATTCCTCCTAAATGCAATCCAGATACAAAACTGCCCAGGAGCTAAGCTCTCTAGGTGGAGTGTTTTCAATGGGGACTGAATCGAAATACTGCAAACTGGGTATCTTATTGAGAGAGGTCTCTATAAATATGAACAAAATCTGCCAGAAATACTATGGCAGAAAACTGAAAACAGGTGCAAAATGATAAAGAAGTAGAAAGCAAAGGAATGCTGAGAAAAAAATAAAAGTACTGCTGGGAATACAAAGGTTCAAATATTGAGCAACATCATTGTGTCTTGTTTTTTTTTATTTTTCTTGTTTGTCAGGAAATTTAATTTGCCAATAGGTGAGAAAGCATTTAAGAAATACTAATTCTGTTACAAATTTACACTCCTGTTTAAACAGCCAATGAGTCATTCAGTACTTAATTATCATGGACAGAATACTGTAGGCTAGTGCTGTTATTATCTAATGGACCATCACTTTTTTACCCACCAAGTAATATTCTGATTCTAAGACCAATTACGAGTAAATCTAAAACAACTGTAGTCTCCTTGGAAGGGTACTGAAAACAAAAAATGAAAAACAATCATGTAAGATTTGTGGGAAATATGGGACAGAGGAACTGGTTCAAGCAGTAAGATCAATATTGGACTTCTGATCTACATTTATCAGAATGAATGAATGAATGAATGAGAAAAAAAAATACACCCTTGCATGGTACATTACCAAATGCAAACATGTAACAAATAGAACATTTACTGCACTTCATGAAGAACTGGATCATGGACAGAATAAAAGCTGAAATAAAATTAGCAAATGTTAAGCAAAATCTCCGTTCAACAATTTGCAATAATTAGATTATCATAACTACTG